ACCTAAATACACTTGTTACTAGTAGATACTTCTTCAGACTAGACTTCAACTTTCTCAATCATTTGTTTAGTCTATCTTAATTATTACACTAAAAACTTTCAACACCCTCAAGCATGACCAAAAACAATAGCTTGAGATTTTTCTAATAAAATACCCTTCTATCTTTCTTTTTGAATTTTATCCAATAACAATCCTACTTCCATAAGCTCTTTATAATGTTCGACGATGCTTCTTTTCAACCAATGAAGTTTTCTTCATCCACCATATTAAAGTAGTTTATTTCATCCTTTATCTCTTTTCAATGACCTAGGTTATCATTATCATTTAGCCCCAATCCATCCCCACATAGAGTTAAGGATACTTCTTTTATGTTCCCTTTCATTAGCACTCAGAGATATGATCTTCAAGCATTCTTACTATTACTCGCTTGACTTTCTTTTTGGCTCTCATGTCAAAAGCTCCTTGATTACTTTTTCCAGTACTTGCACCCTTATTCTCAATTATGTATCTACCACCATCGACTCTTTTATTTCTTGATTTATGCAAAAAATAAAAATAAAAAAGGATCTATGATTAAACCTAGCTAAATTGACACCAATCTTGTTTTCCTTAAACCAAACACTATTGAGACTCCAATCATTTCTAGTGAACCTTATCAAGGAGGTTATTTATGAAAATGGTTACCACCTCTTTCTCCTTAAGGAATCGAGGTTCCATTTTTTTTAAATAAAAATAGTTATTAAAACCTTGCTAGATATTGGAGGTATTCTCAACAATTACCCTAAACCCTAAATATTGGAGATTTGTGAAAAGGTTTAAAATATCATTGATGCTTTTTTTTCTAAACTTAAAAATCCTAAAACCTTAAACCCTATGTGAAAACCTAAACCAAAAGTCAAACCCTAAACTTTAAATCAAACCATAAACCCAATGTCAAACCCTAAACCTTAGGTCAAATCCCAAACATAAATCAAAAGTTAAATCCTAAACCCTAACCTTAAACTTAGTCAAACTTAAAAACTAAAACCACCTATCAAAACTTAAAACCTAAGTCCAATCCTAAACCATACCCTAACCTTAAAACCAAAACCTAAACTAAACTTTGATCCTAAATCAAACCCGAAATCCTAGCCAAACCTTAAACTCAAAGTCAAAAGCTCAAACCCTGAAAAGTCAAATCCTAAAGATGAACCTTTTCTCAAATCTTTAATTAACCCTAAACTCTAAATCTATATAACATCTTCAACCATTTGCATTTTATTCACTTAATATAATTTATTACATGCATTTACATTTTTAATTATCATCCACATAATCTATTTTGTTGCATTCATGCATTTTACTTTACATTTACATTATTTATTTCGTTGCGTTCATATGAATGTGTAATGATGGTTTCAAAAATAAAACAAAAAAGGAAATGTTTTAAAAATAAAATAGGATAATATTATGAGTAAAAATAATTATTGAGACCTTAACTAGATGTTAGAGGGATTCTCAATAATTATATTTTATAAAGAATATTATTTTCATTTTAATGGATTATCTTGGAAATCTTAAAGTAAAAATATATTTTCAAAATTTCACTTAGATATTAAAGAGTTTAGCAAATATTCTGATACCAAAGTTTTAATTTTAATCCAAAATAAAAGGATTTGGATTTTCAATGAAATAAAAAATGAGATTTTGTAAAAATAAATGAAATTCAAAGAATTAATTTTAAATATTAAAACTAAGATAATTTTTATCAAAATTCAATGATAACATGCGATTAATTGATATCATTTTTAAAAATGGATGCTATAGGGATGCTAATCCTTTCCATATGTAACCATACTCCAAAATTTTATTTTATTTTTAAATACCAAAATTATCTTTTTAATAAATTTTAAACTAGTTATAGGATTTTATTAAAAAGATAAATTTTTTAATGGTCAATCATATTTAACAAAAAAAGTGATTGGTAACGAATCTTTTTATTTTTAAAATTTCATCTAAATGGTCAGATTTTGAGACTCACACATTGCCTATAAATATATTCAATCATACTTATTTTTACTTTAGAAAAGATAAAGTTTATATAAACTTGAAAAATAAATAATCCACTTAAAATATTAGAAAGATTTAATAAATTAGAAATTTATATGTAAAAATTTAAAATAATTATATTACCTTGAAGGGCCATTCTTATTTTGAGAAATATATACTCATGCTCCTATGTGGCACCACCATTGGCTTCAGGGCTAAAGCTAAGGGTTATTCATAATACTTTTATTGCATTTCTTTAACTAGCTGTAGAAAGAAACAATTGAAATGTAGAGTACCAGTCAACAAAAGATGGTTGGATGGTTGGCTCAAGTGACATATATATATGTTATCTAAATTTGAATCTATCGAAAGGTTGTGAGAATATAATTTCATATATATTCGTTAAGTTCAACGTATAAAAACTAATTGAATTAGCTTAAGAAATGGATGTACCAGGCAAAGCTTAGAACCCTTAGTCGCTTAATAAAAAAAATGCAATGTACTAGTAAACGAAAGAAAATTGTAAAGGACACCTAACATTAAGTATTGCAGTGTATCAACCATGCCTAGTGAATAACAGTATATCCGCTATGTAACCAACCTTGATAGGGATTGACCAAATCAAGGTTGAGTCAGAGAACCTTTCAGTGCATTTTTTTTCTTATTCTGTTGGTTCCACGTGTTCTTTTGTTGTTCAATATCTTCATCAACTAATTATCATCTAATTCTCATCTTGGGACTAAATTTACGTTAAGTTGTTTAGGTGAAATTTATGAAATTTTAAAAAAAAATAATTTAATAAAAAATTTTAATAAAAAAATTTAAATCGATAAACTAATAAATTTTAATATGAAAATTAATAATATGTAAAAATAATTATTAAAAATATTATTTATAATTTAAATTTGATCATTATTTATTTAATGATAAAAATTTTATCCATATTTTTATTAAAAATATTTATATAAAAAATATATATAACTTTTTTCAAATTTTATATTTTTAATTTATATAACAAATTTTTTTAATTTATTGGTTTTGATTTTTAAGTTTAATTTTTATTTAATCAAAACTATTATAAAATTTCACGAATTTTATCCAAAAAACTTCATTTAAGTTTTTTTCCTCACATTGCATATTCCATAATTTGAGAACTAAAATTACTTGTTGCCTGTCTCCATATACGGCCCTTGCAACATGTCAGGAAAGTTAACTTTCTTTTGCTCTATAATGCCAAAAAAAAAAAGCAACTTTTGTTCCAAAATGATATCAGGAGATCCTGGTCAACAATTGCTTTTTATGATAAAGTATTGGATTCTTCATTTCAATTACCAGGATTTAAATTCTGACAATCTTAAATAAATAAATATATAAAGGATATAACCAGAGATCCTGCATCAGTGACTATTATCTTTAGAAGTTAATATGATCTATCCCAGCTAATGGTAATGTTATGCACATGAATAGCCAATGTGGCCAAATACAGAATTCATGACAGAGGATGTCAATTTTGGTCCATGTTTGAAGGTGAACTTGTAACTTGTACCCTAACTAGAAAGCCTACCAAAGACCAGCAGAGGTTGCCCAAGATGATGGATAGAAAATATATTCAACTGACTTTCACGATCAATCAAGCAAAAATTACATGATTGTTATGTTTGGCTAGTTAAAGTGGGGGAAGATCTGTAACCAACACAAATAAGATGTTTTACTCTATTTCATGTGCAAAGGCAGGGTTCCAAACCTTCTATTGCTGTGGCATATCTTCCTATGTTTATTTTCCATATATTACCTGAATTTAATTTTTTTTCTTAAGGTTCCAAATTAATATTTGATTCAATTTAAGTCAGACGTAATTTTATGTGATTATTTTTTATGGCATGAGAGATGCAGGGGAACCAGCCAGTTTTTTTAAGAAACATATTCTCTAACATAGAATAATACCCCCAACTAAACGATAAGCAAATCAAGGTAAAAAAGGAGAGAACTTTTCAAGGAATTTCTTTCTTGTTTTAAATCTTCTTGGTTTAAAAGTTCGAGAGATAAGATCAGTTTACTAAGTGAGATGCAAACGAAGGAACCGGCCTTTTTTTAAGAACAGAATCTCTAACTATCATTAACTATAGGTAATCAAATAAAGTGATTTTAAATCGCTACTTTTAATAATAAGATTATGTGGATGATTAAATTACAAGATAATTTTGAAAATGATACCAAATATTCTCTAAAAGTAGGTATCCAACAAGTCTATATTTGAATTCCAGCACTTCCATTCCTTTCCCTTATCCTTAATCTAGGATTTTTTTTGTCAAAAAAAAAAAAAAAGGCATAAGTTCTTAACCTATCTAGGGCTTCATTTTTTTAGCTGTTTTCTTCACTTCCTTCCAAGTAAATTGACCATTTCTAGAAAGCAGAACAGATGAAAGTAAATTGGTTTTAACTAACATTGGTAAACAAAGAGGGAAAAAAAATGGAGTTGCGGAACTAAGTTTGGATCTTGCCTTGTTTAGAATCTTCTTTCGTTTATATTTATTCTTGTGGTTGCGAGATTGGAATATGACCTTTCAGTGCTTGTAACAGCCGCTGTGTCCTTAAACTACGAGACAGAACTTACAAAATATGTCCCTACTAGCATCGATTCTGATAGAAATAATTATACCTTTTTCTTATTAGATAATCACAGTCAAAGCAGGTGGAAAGCTACCAATAAAGTTGTTTTGTTTTCGCTCAGTCTATAAATATCACAATAATTGCTTCCCCTCCTCAAAACAGAAATCCCATTTGCTTTAGCTCATCTATAACTTAGTCAGAAAGCAATCATGATTATCACGAAGAAGCTCGATAGAATGGCAAGGAAGTGGAGGAAGGTAGCTGCCACTGGGAGGAAAATATTTACTTCGCCAAGGACTATCCGAAAGATGGTGCTGCAGATAAAGGCCATTTCGTTGTCTACACAATGTATCAGAAAAGTTTTGTGATTCTCTTGGCATATCTCAGCAACTTCATTTTGCAAAAACTCTTCAAGATGTCTAAGGAGGAGTTTGGTCTGTCAAACGATGGGCCTACAACGTTATCGTGTGATTCAGTCTTCATGAGTTACATATAGTCTTGTTGTTACAAAGAAGATTACCTAAGGATTTGGAGAAAGCAGTACTCAATTCCATCACTGGCCATTTCGGCTCATCGTCATTTTTCCTTGTTTGTGGTTCTGAGTGAAGCAACATGTAAAGATTAATTCTGCACCCCTAAAAGGATAAAAAGAAACTTGTAAATAATTTAAACTACTGTAGTGTATGCAAAAAGATGTTTTGTTGTACAACTGCAATTTCTTGAAATGCAATAGACCCTTTAGATTACTAAAATGAGTTAATTCTCTGCTTGTCATTGCCATCTACTATCTCATGAATAACTGCAAATACAAAAAAAAAAAAAAGTCACTTTGTCATCTATACCACAGAAGAAAAGCCATGTGGTGCCATTGTCGTATCGCAGCAATAACATATTTATTGAACTCTTAAAGCTGTCCAGGAGGAGTTTGGTTTGTTAAGTCATTATCTTATAATGTTGCCTGCGACTCAGCCTTGTTGGAATGCATGGTCTTCATTGTCCGACAAGGCTTGGAACACTTCGAGAAAGCTCTGCTTAGTTTCATTTCTCCTCGTTGCTACTCCCTTGGCACTTTTTTCCATCAGGACAAACAGGCCAACAGTCACTTGTTTGTAGATACTGAACAGATCATAGTTGAATCATGTGAAACTACCATAAAAGGGCCTATTTTGATTGCTTCACCACCTTCTCTGAGCTAAGAGCATATGTCCCTTCCTTTCTTCTTGAGCTTATTCTTCAGTCCCTGCATAGCCAGAATAAGGAAGCATGATCAGCCTTACGAAGATCATTAAAGTAGCAAAGAAGCGGCAGAAAGGTGTCTGCCACAAGTAACAAAAGAATTACATCACCCAGCACATGTAATGGTATCAGTGCAGATAGTTTCAATGCATCAACTGTTGATAATAAAGGCCATTTTGTCCTCGGCACCATAGTTAGGAAGCGTTTTGCGATTCCCTTGCCTATTTACTAATAAGACAATCACTTTGCCATGTGGTGCAGTGTTCATGAATTACATAGTTTCACTCATCCGATGAGGTGTAGATGAAAACATAGACATTAAAATCAGTTGCTGCTTATCTCCTTCTTTTGATGAGGGATTTGCATCCCAGCAATTAGTTGCTTGTATCTAATACATAAGTTATATATGAATCTATAAAAGTTTTGGCAATATTATATTATTCTAGATGTCTATTTATATCTTTTCTTCTACAAGTAGTTGTTAATGTTTGGCATGATGACTTGGATTTTTATAGACTTGGTGTGTATGCAACTCACAGTTTGGCACCTGTAACCGAAATACTTGATTTTCCATTCCATGAATATGAATGAGGAAACCTTTTTTCTTTTCCTATGATCCATTATCTTGAATCTTGTGGATGAATTTTCACTCAAAGTCATCTAAAAAAGGACATTGACCAGGTTCTTTTATCAATAATCATTATATACTTTTAAAAAAGACCCAAAATTTGTATCGCCTCCTGCAATTTTATTAACCAGACTTAGAAAGCTAATTATCGATTGCTTCAGCCAACCCCTCAAGCTTCTGTAAGACATAGGCCATAGGGACAAAGATTCACCTTGTGCTCTTCATTTCCTTCAATTCACTGACTGATAAGTACTAAAAGGCTTGTAGATTGTATAGATCCTTGGAAAAAAGGAAGCCTTTGTCATAATAGATAAAGGTTAACATCTAAAAAATGTATGAAATTTCACGGTCAAAGAGAAGTCCATAACTAAATTGCATTGAAAAGGGATATTCTTCAAAATCTAGTTTGCAATTGCATAAAAAAAGATGAAACATATGCATGTGTTTTGGGGTTATCCAATCAGACAAGACAGAGTTGGCCATCCAGTTTCAGCTTTGGGGGCAAGAGTATGCGAAGCTATCGTTCATGTAACTTCACTCTCTAGTTCTATCTATTATATTTCTTTTCCTTTGTTTTGTCCATGGGATCTAATCTAAAACAGAATGTAGCAGCTTTGATATTTCACCTAGTTTGAATGCATTGTATTGGCTTCATTGTACACTTTTCTTCTATTTATGTTTCATTTAACTCTTGGGAGGAATATTCATATTATTCTAATGCATAAAAGTACATTTATTGCTTTTATTTTTTTTTACTTTCTCTCTTGATTACTCAGCATGATAAGTTGCAGAAAACAGATCAAGATGTCTAGGAAATGGCAGAAGTTAGCTTCCATCAAGAGGAAGAGAATTTTGAAATCCCACAAACATCTATGCATTGAATTTCTTTAAGTTAAAAAAAAAGGTGCTCTGCTTTCTTTCTAGAAAATATAACACTTCAGCAAGTAGAAAATATATACTTCAGATGAAAATTTGATGGGCAGAAGATTTTTTCTCTTAAATTATAAAGTATGAGCTGAAGCTGCCTTTCCTCTTGCGAACCTATGTTAATTCATAGACATGTACCTCTAGTGTCCAGTAGTAATTAGTCTTCTCTACCAAATAAGTACAGAAACAAAGATTTTTTATTATCAATTTTGCATAGCTTCTATCGTTTATAAAGATTGTTGGCGTTTGATAACAACATGATAAGTTTAGATGATCAGTTCTAAGAAGCTCAAAAAATTGGCTAGGCAATGGCAAAAAGTTGCTCCCATCAAGCAAAAGAATTAGATAACACTGACTAGTATGTCTATAGATGTTATTGCAAATGATTGCAGCACATCAACAATGATTGAGAAAGGTCACTTTGTGGTGTATAGTGCAGATTAGCAACCCTTCACGCTTCTTTTATAATATCTTAAGACGGAAATCATCAAGAGACTTATTCAATCTAGCAAAAGAAAGAGTTTGGAATAGCAAGCAATGGACCTCTAACACTTCCTTGTGATGCAGTCTTTCGCAGTGTGTTATTTCTTTGATCAAACTGTACCTGAGTAAAGATGTAGAGAAAGCATTACTCACATCCATAGCCGGTGGCCATTGCTCATCATCTTCATATCTACACCAAGAATCAAGAAATCAACCATGATTGATTTGTAGCTTCTAAAGCAAATTGTAGACAAATTTTGTAATTATACACTATTTTTCAATGATTCTACTAGGAAAAGGAATTAACTCTCTCCATATTTGTTAATCTTTGAAATCTGTTCCTAATATATTGTTGCTTTACAAAAATGAAGTATGGGCATCCAACAAATTCACCAGTAAACTTTACATTTCTTCTGACTGAATTTAAAAAAGACCAAGGCAATTTGTCTTCAAGTTAAATGTACTCAGAGCTATCCTATATAATATGCATCAAACTCCAAGGGGCCAGGGTTGACAAGTGTGGAAACTTACAATAAGTGACAGCAAGGTCAAGAAACTGATTGGATTTTAGAGAGACAAGAGACATGTGGTAATTTTCTTGAAAGAAGGCTTCTTATTACCGTTTAGAATAATAAATCTCATCTAAACAGGATCCTAAATTTCAGTTGGAATCAGTGATCAACTGGTCATGAGTAAATTTAATTGCAACACTGGACCATATTGTTGTTAAACGACCGGAAGATAGATAAAGATGTGTATGCACGCATTTCAATGGTTCATACAAAAATGTGTCTGCATGCACTTCAATAGTCCACCTTGTTGGGCTAATCATCCAATAAAAGTAAACATGCCAAACTTGCGGATTACACCTCTTATCTGCCCATCACATGGCTTTGTTTCCAATGATTACATGCATTCTACTTATTCATTAAAGGTACTGTTTTTAGCATTATGATTACTAGATAGAGGCCCGTATTACGTTGCAGGAAGCTAATTTAAATGTGTAAGCATTTTAAATGCATGAGCACGATAAAAGTAACATTTTTTAGTTTTGTATGAGTTATCATATGAAGATATCATGATGATATGACTATCATTGAAAAATAAAGTTGTATTTATATAATACCTTAAAATTCAACATGAAATCCATAATTAAAAAGTATAGATCCAAAGATAATAGAAAACATAATTTACATAAAATATATATGTTCAAAGGTCAATATAAAGGATAAGTTATATAAAATAAATCTATACCAAGCAAATTTCATTAGCACAAAATCCATAATTAAGAAAAAGCCAACATTAAAGATAAAGTTGATATGACTATCATTGAAAAAATAAAGTTGTATTTATATAATACCTTAAAATTCAACATGAAATGTATAATTAGAAAGTATAGATCCATAAGATAATAAAAAACATAATTTACATAAAATATATATTTTCAAAGGTCAATATAAACGATACGTTATATAAAATAAATCTATACCAAGCAAATTTCATTAGCACTAAATCCATAATTAAGGAAAAGTCAACATTAAAGATAAAGGTCAAAAACTAATAGAAAGCATAAGTTCTACAAAATAAAATTATATTTGTTGAAACAAATTATAAAAAATATATTTGTTCAAACATTGATAATATCCATGCCAGAACCTTCTTGGATAACTTAAACATCCTATTCCCTTCCCGATTTATGTCTCTTTCCACAAAAGCAAATTTATGAACAAAAATATCACACACAAAATTGTTTTCATAGCCTTTCTTATGGTGCATTGCTTTAAAAAATTAATGGTTATGATTTTTTATGATTTTTTTTCCTCTTACACAAAAACATGCAAATATATAGAGATTATAAAAGTGAAGTTCAATATAGCATTACTTTGAAATTAAAAAAAAAATACCTGCAAGATTGTCAAAAGTTAAGGTTGCATACAGGTCATTGATCCTCAAATGTAACAACCAATGGCCATATAGAAACTTCTTTGAAGCATAAGCAAGGTACTTTCAATCAATATTAAATGAACAAATTTATGTGTTAGTTTACAATTAAGCAAACCGCTCGTCATTGTAGTTAACCATGATAATATCATTTCTCAAAAGATAAAAATTTAAGAATTAAAAAAATATAGGAACATACATGGTTAAAAAATCATCAGGACAACATTGTGTTTACATACTGAAGTCAACATTGAACAAAGAGAGGAAGTGCAATAATTGATTATATATTGGTATCAAACAAAAAGTAAAGTTAAATTTTTTGAAAGCTCATGAGCTAGAACACTGCATCTTTGAAGTTTGAAATACTAATTTCTTATCAATGAACAAAATAAAAAATTCCTTCTAATTTGGTTCGCATCACAATTTCAATTTAAATATAATAAAATATAATATCCTATGAGCATGAATAAATCAATTACATTCAAAGTTGAAAAAACATATGTACAACCCAAAATATAAAAGAAACCTAATTTAAAGGCTGCAATTATCAAGGCAAACAAAATCTCTTATATATCTAGCAACAAAGTGTAGTGTATAAATAGAATCGAATAAAATATACATCATTTAATGTTATATGTGCTACCAAGTGGAAAGATATTATTTTACATATTATATAAATCTTAAAATTGCAATGCATTATGTATACTCATCATATCACATGTTACATGTTCTGCTAAATGAAAGGATATTATTATACATATAGAGATATTCTTGTGCTTCGTGATGGACTTATTGTTTGAATGCAATGATTAAAAATTAAAACGCATAACTAATTTACTTGTATTTGTCATGCTAGTTAAAAGCTATTCTTTCTTGATATCTTAAATTACCATCCCATCTTACATTATAACTTTAAGAATGTGACTATTGGTATTGCAAAATGAAATTTGAATTATGATAACTAAAAATAAGATGAATATTTTCCACACTTTTTTTTTTAATTTACCTAAGTTTTGGTCAAATGTACACATCATATTTGGAGGTGTTCAGCTCAACATAACTAATTAGGCTTATTAATTTCAATGTTCTAATGATATTTTGAAAGTAATACTGAAACATATTAGTAAGGAAAGACATATGTGTTGGATTTTTTATAACAGCTTAGGTGAGACACAATTATGTTCATGTATGCAATTAAGATGAATACAAACATAATTATGTTCATGCGTACAATTGAAGATAAATATAAACACAATTCTGATCATGAAATGCAACATTTATAAAGTAAGTGAATATAATGAAAAAATAATATAATGGATCATTATGCAACCAAAAAATCTATCATGAGTTAAAAATAGTATAATGATTAGTCGGGAGGATGAAAAAACATGATGTTTAAATGACAAAACAATTATCCACATAAAGTAAAAGAAAACTCAACTTAAGCACAAAAAAATGTACATTGTATTAAATAAGTCATGCAAAATAACCTAATAGCAACCTAAAATTTCAAACTTTTGATTAATTTACAAACCTGTCCTTTTTGGATTGCAGCCGCAAGTTGTATATTTGATAATACAATTTTGTAGTCTAATTGCATTGTAGAATATTGATTTCTTACTTTATCTAGAGCCAAATATGAGTTGTAAAAGATGAAAAGCCTATTATATATATATACTAATTACAAAACAATTTATTAGTGTTTGCAAAATAACTTTTGATTGCAGTATATGAATATGACAATTTGAAGTCGTCTTGCAAAAATAGCAATTAGCCCCATTTTCTTAAGTGGGGCAAAAATGCTTTAAAACAACTTCTTTTAAATAAGATACAAGAATAATTTACATGTGTTTGTCACAAAAAGTTAACTAAGCGTATTTCTTGTTTTAGTTACCAAATATGAATGAAAAATAGTGATGTTTAACCAATAGCACCAATAAGGTTTTTGCAATGCCATGATCAAATTTAGGTTAGAATAATTACAGGATCTACATCATAAGCACCCTAAAAACTTAAACCATCATAAAAATAAAAGTAATAAAACTAATCCAAGAACAAAATCCAAAACATATAATAATATAAATAGTTTTTCCTAAGGAAAAGAACCAACATGATGGTCTAGATTTTGGAATATATAACTCTTTGGACTCTAGACAAATAAAGTTCCATTTGTTGAGGGCAAAAGACCAAGCAAGATCTGTATGATTCACAATATAGGCAACTCATAATAATTCAAGCTATATTTTCATAACAAAAAGAAAATTAATAGTTTATCAAACACATAATGGCAGCATGCTTTTTCTTAAATGAGCAATGCTACTTGCCCACCCCAAAAACCATTAGTTTCCTAGTTATTTACACTCTTTTAAAAGTGTATAAGGTTATTTGAAAATTTCGAGGGTGAAGTCTACAAATTCTTAGGGAAATTAAAATTGATCTATTATCACGCCAAGTGGAGCAAGTGGCTTTTTTGTTTTAGATTATCAATACCTATATTGATTTTCTAATCGGCAAAAAGAAATGTTGAGATTGAATATACCTTTAAAAGGGTAAATTTACCACAACCTTTAAGACCAAGAAGCATCCATAACTATCCCAAAGGAATCCAAATCGAACAATCCTTAAGAATTGGCACCATTTTGCCTTGCCTCGTATTAACCGAGAAGTTAATATTACGACCCTTGATAGCAACATTTTTAGTTGCATTGTCTTTGCAACCAAACAACAAAAACAGAAACATCCATAAGAAACAAAACGTAAATTGTTTGAGAAAATGCATAACTGAAAAGAACTTTATCATGATGGGAGCTAGGGTAAAAGGCATAGAACCTGGCAGAAGAAGTTAAGTGAAAAAGGGGTAGATTAGGCACAGGGGTACAGACTGTGCAGCCCAAATAGCATAATCCACCTAAGATACTTTTCCATGTTAGAAGAATATAAAATACTACAGATGCAAGAAAGCAAAATAGTTAAAATAGAAGATAAAACTTGCAAGCCTTGCATCTTAAATTCACTAAACCTGCTAAAGTCAAATTGGTAAATCTTTCAACGTTTTTCATCATTGTCATTTATGTCTAATATAACAGCAATGAAAACTCAAACTTCTTTTCAGCTATAAAAAAAAAAAAAAAAAACTAAAAGTCAAAAGAGATTGAAACAACCAATGAATTAGTTTAGCAAAAAATAAAATCAAGATTTAAATGAATGTCCAAGTAAAATTAGGATTAGAACCTTTGATTTTATATCTTGTTTTCTCTTTCTAACGGTCAATGGAGTTTTATAGATCAAAGATATCAAAAATTAAAACAAAGAAAAATATCAAAAAATAGAACAAACAAAAAAAAATAGTGAAAGAAAATTTCTAAATTTTTTTATTATTCATTTTCTCATATTGAGAGAAAATATAAGTAATAGTATAACTCATATTTGAACAAATGATACATGACAAAAAAAGTTTAAAAAAAAAATCAAACATGCAAAATTTTATTAATACTGAAAATACAAAAACTGAGAAACATAGATTACTTATTAGATTTTTCAGATTTTGTCCAATCGGCTTAATACTTAACTCAGATTCCTTCATGGGATTTCTCTTATTTTTTAAAAACTAATTGCAAAAGGTAATCAGATTTCACGATAAACCAAATTAAATGCCAACTTTAATTATAAAGAATGAAAAACTAATATGATTCCTTAATGGGTTTTGTTTATTTTTGAAAACCAAATAGCAATACTAATCAGATCTTGATGATAGTAGAAAAAAATAAAAGAAAGGAATACGAAAAAGCAAAAGACTTGGATATCACTTACAAGAGAACGTTAAACTGCCCTAGCTTTCCTAGAAACCCAAGTTATAAAAGCAATTAAAGCCAGTAATTAAAGAAGAAAAGTAGCACACAATAGAAAAAGACAAAGAGAAAAAGAGATAAGATAGTAGGAAACATTACGATAGAGAAAACAAACACTTATAAGTAATTTTTTATGACTGAAATTAACCTTCAATTTTTTTAAGACTTTAAAAGTGTGGACAATAAAATTGAGATAAGGGACTAATTTTAATATATGTATAGATATATTCATCATATTTCCATTTCCTCATATCTAGCAATAACATAATAACTTAATTTAGATAAGAGTTCTAAGACCTAAAAATTCTCTTTTTTTTTTTCTTTCATCTTAAAGTCTTTTCTACTAAACTTAGAGTATAGCAAGATGATTCATGATAAAAAGCTATTATGGGTATTTTATAAGGGTAAAATAGATATTTTACTCCATAGTGTAAGTCATCAGCCAAACAAAAGCAATTTGGTCTTTTTAGCCAAACTTACATGCTAGGCCAACCTAAAGTTCCAAGATCCATACAGCTTAACCACCTGAAATAACCACTAGATAGCATACGAGAATGCTGACTTATCACCTCTTAATAGGTTTTGTTGACTGCCAGCTCAAATTAGGCTAATAGCATAAGCTCTAGCCTTACCATTTAAAGTTTAGGCCATCCAGGCCTTACACCTTCACTTCATATGTATAAATAACCCTTTTAGTTACTATTAAGTCAATTCTTGATATATATCTATTTTCAAGTTTTCCTCTTTTTTTCTCTTTTCTCAAGCACTGACTTGAATATAAGAGCACAACCGTTAGAGAAACCTCTAACCTTTGCTATTAACCAACTTCTCACCTTGTGATTTTAGGTTTTTATCCTTTAAAAGATAGCTTAGCACTAACATTTTGGCATGCTAGGTAAGGGATATTCCATTTAATCGAGCTAATATAGCACTAAGGAATAGAGTCATTGAAGAAGAAGACAATGTTGTAACTGAGACTAATACCTAACTTAACCAACAAAATCTTAACCGACCTATATAGGAAACTTCAACAATGGAATAATTTGAAACACTTACCCAATAATTACAATCATTGAAAAGGATGATACAATTCTTGACTTTTCGATAAACTTGTAAAGAACCAAACCTTATAACCCAGAAAAACCCATTAACACAAAAGCTACTGACCTATAAAGATAATGCTACCTTATCATTACCTAAAGAAAATGAAACACCTTTGAACCAGTATCCCACAAACACCTAAACATACACCACCTAAAAATCCAAATAGTCCACTTTAAAATTATAACCTAAAAAGACTTAGTAGCTTGAATGAAGGCAATGAAAAAAGAGCTAAAGAATAAATCTCCACCTTTGATAGTGAGCTAAGTTTTTAGAAACTTCCTAATTTAACAAGGACATTGATCGCACCTAAAGAAATTTAAAATGTTGACTTTGGAAACTTATGACAACACCTCTGATCCCTTTGATTACCTTAAGCTTTACAGAACTAACATTTTGATACAGGGAGCTGATAAGCCTTTCATGTACAAAAGGCTTGCCATAACACTCAAAAGGGTAGCTTAATCATGGTATACCGGTTTTAAGTTGAGGTCTATCTCCTTTTTCAAGTAGCTTAGCCACTCTTTCTTAACCCACTTTGTCAGTAGCTAATAAACAAAGCAAACTACATTGAGCCTAATGTCTATCTACCAAGGAAGAAATGAATCTTTATAAAGTATTGTTATAACGTCTATGTTGGGAGAACCAATCCATTAAATCATGAAAGTCGCTATCAATCTTTTTTAGCTATGTGTGATTGACCTCCTATGAGAATCTATCCTCTTTAAGGTTATCCTAAGTGTAAATTAAGGGTCTCTAAAAAGAATAAACTCTGGTTTACATCATCAAAGCTAAGGTTCAAGAGTCGGTTACATGTAGGGAAGGTGTTAGCACCCCTTTATGCCCAAAATTGGTACTAAATTAGGTATTCATTACCTTACCTAAGCCTTATTAAAAATGGTTTTTATCATTCAAATCAAAATCATAACATAGTGATACAAAAAAAAATTCAATCAAAATATCAAGTAGTCATGAAATCATGCAATAAGTATCATACCTTGTATCATGCAAAATATATTATTCATCATAAAAATCATTCATGCAAACATATATAATCATGCAATAATATAGAATGCAATGTAATAATACCATGCAAATATAGAATCATGAAATCTAATATAATCATGCAATTATGCTCTCAATAAATATAGAAACATGCAAGTATATTTGTAATTATGCAATTAAATATAGTCATGCAATACCATGCAAATATAATAATAAATCACACAAATAACATATTAATAACTATGCAAATAAATATATTAATAATGTGCAATCACACACATAAATATATTAAGTAATCATGCAAATATAAAATAATCATGCAAGTAATAATAAATCACACAAATAAACATGCAATTAAATATATTAAAAATCATGCAAACATGCAATTGAATATAATATATAAATCATGCAAATAAACATGTAATTAAATATATTATAATGCAAACAAGCAATTAAGTTAAAAGTCAAACAAATAATATATCATATTAATTATAATAGCGAGCAAATATAAAAGACATACAAATAAAATATCATGCAAAATAAATATAAAAAATATCAAAACATTTTCCTTTTCCTTTTCAGCATTACATTAATTCAAAAAATATCCAAATGATCAAAAAATAAAATCAAATAGAAAATCAAACCAAACAGGAAGATAAAATTAAACCAAACAAAAAATGAAAAATCAAATAAAATATAAAATAAAAGCCAATAGAACCAAAACAAAAAATAATCTAAAAAGAAAGGGAATACATGCAGTTTGGGTGGGGTCAAAATCAAGTCAACATGCGGATCTTAGGCAAGTTGAGGAGCAGATCTTAAGCCTTTGAAACGATGTCGTTTTGACTTAGTATTAAAAAAAACTTGATTTTTTTTCTTAGAAATGCTAAACGCTTTCTTGATAGCCTTGAATTGATCTTTATTTTGAAATGACAAAACATTAAGCTAAATAAACTTGATCAAGATTTTGAAAAAGATTTATTTAGTATGTGTTCTTAACTTTTAGATATTGGTAATAAATAAATAATATGATTTTGAAAGTTTAAACAAACCTTTCTTTAAGTTTTCTTATTTCTCAAATCAAAACTATCTTTAAATATCATTTATTTGAGTTTAAATGGAAGTCCAATTGTTGATTTTCAAATGAACTTATTCATTTTAGACTCAATACAATTTTGATAATATTGGTTTTGAGAAATAGATTAACTTAAGAAAGTTGTTTTACAATAACAAAGTTTTCCAATATTGAACTTGTTTTATTTTTCTATATTAATTCACAAAGCTTTAATATTTGAATTTTATATGATTGAAAACTCTTTAAGTCTACTTTCTAATGGATCAAACAAAATCAAAATCCAAACTTTTTACAAAAAGATTTTGAATTTTTACTAGACACTTTACAGTGTCTAAAAACTGCACAAGGGGTAGTTTTAAAAATTTACTATAATTTATATATAATGATTAGGTGATAAATTTTATATCGATAGAAAGCATTTAAGTCTAATTTCTAATTTTTTAAATGGTTTTGATTTGGAATTGTATAACTCAAGATATGAACAAATTATTGAGTGAAGTACAAAATAGAATATAACCACCTAGCTTGATCGGATCGATTCCCTCCCTGTAAGGATCGATTGGTTAGGGTTTCAATATGACCTAATCGATCCGTCCCTCCAAGGGATCGATCCATTTTTTATACAAAATGCTTTTTGGGTTAAAAATATTTAAAAAGGATCGATCCCCCTACATAGGAGATTGATCACCTGGGTAGGGGATCGATCGGGTCCTTACTTAATCGATCGAGTCTACACATAAATGTGTATAATGGCTAGTTTTTCAACCTTTCAATGGGCATTTCTTCTTCCAAACCATCCCTAATGGCTAGTTCTTTAATTCCTCCATAATTGGGCATTCCAACACACCAAAGAGGTTGATAAATCAAAAGAGTAAGAACCAATAAGTTATATTTTTATTCTCTCAAAGAATCAAGAGTTGTTAGAGCTTAAAATCCATATCTTTTGTATTTATTGTATCCAAATCATATTTGTTGTCCATTCAACATTTCTTTGTATTTAAACTTAGCAAACACTTAACCTTTGAGAGGTGTTTTAAGTTTACATTTCTATTAAGTAACTATGTAATCAATAGATGAGGTATCTTCTTGAATTTGTAAGATTGAGAGGTTGCTAGTTAGCCTAGCAAGTAAAGAGTGTTAGGTTGCTATCTAAGCCTTAAGAAAAAGATAGAGTTGTAACTTTAGTTCAAAAATAGTGGATTGAAGCATTGGTGTAAACAACCAATAAGAAAGGACGTAGGAGCCTTGTGGAGAAAGATCGAACCTCTATAAATCTTTGTGTTTGATTTCTCTATCCTTAACCTTTTATTTTCATTGCTGATTATATATACTTCTAGATTTATCAATTGTTGTCATTACATCATATTTTGATATTGATTTTAATTTTCTATTAAATTATTTTGAAATCATTATTTTGGAAGAACTTAGAGAAATCTAATTCATATTCCTTTGATCACAATCTCACCTAAAAACCTAATATTTTTTATTCTAGTTCCAAAACATCTGCCTTCTCTCTAGACTATTCTCCAGAAAGTCAAATCAATGCAGAAATCGATGTAAAAAAATTTCAAACGGTGCCAAAAAATTTTTAAAAACCTAGAATCAACCGTAAATTCTAGATTTCAACCATCGTGAAATTCCTCTAGCCATCATAAGTCCATAAAAAAAAATCAAAATTTGCTAGAAACTTCAACCACAAACCCATAGAACCCAAAAATTTTTCAGAAAATCCCATATATCCAAACCAATTCCAAAATCTAAAGCTCCAAAAATCATATTAACTTCCCAAAAGAAATCAAACCAAAACTCAAATCAATTCAAGATTTAGGAATTTAAACCCAAAATACCATAAATGAACGGTTTCCAA